AGAAATGCCTATTCGGCTCCTTTGCCCAATTTTTGGTTGGGTTACTTGTTTTTTTTGCTGTAAAGTTGTTTGAGTTCCTTGTATATTCTGGATATTAATCCTTTGTCAGTTGTATATTTTGCAAATATTTTCTCCCACTCTGTTGGTTGTCTTTTTACTCTGTTGATTGTTTCTTAGTTTGATATAATCCCATTTGTTTATTTTTCCTTTAGTTGCCTGTGGTTTTTGGGGTCCTATTCATGAAGTCTGTACCCACTCCTACTTCCTGGAGTGTTTCCCCTATGTTTTCTTTAAGGAGTTTTGTTTCAGGATGTATATTTAATTCTTTAATCCATTTTGAGTTGATTTTGGTATATGGTGAAAGGTACGGGTCCAGTTTCATTCTCCTACATACGAGTATCCAGTTTTCCCAGCATCACTTGTTGAAGAGGCAGTCTCTTCCCCAGTATGTGGATTTGCTGTCTTTGTCATAGATCAGATGGCTGTAGGTGTATGGACTGATTTCTGGGTTCTCTAGTCTATTCCATTGATTGATATGTCTATTTTTATGCGAGTACCATGCTGTTTTAATTATTACAGCTTCATAATATAGTTTAATGTCAGGTAGTGTTATGCCTCCAGCTTTATTTATTTATTTTTTTTGCTCAGGATTGCTTTGGCTATACATGGTCTTTTGTTGTTTCATATAAATGGCTGGATAGCTTTTTCCATCTCAGAGAAAAATGTCATTGGAATTTTGATGGGGATTGCATTGAATCTGTAGATCACTTTGGGTAATATCCTTTTGTACAGTGAAAGGGTAAATGAACTCTGATGCCCACTATGGTGATATCTTTCTCTGATCTAACTAAAATAACCAAATAAATCCAATAAATAATTAAATCTGCATGGGAGAGTGTGGTGCAGATTTATTTATTTATTGGATTTATTTGGTTATTTTAGTTAGATCAGAGAAACATATCACGATAGTGGGCAGCAGAGTCCATTTCCCTTTCATTGTACAAAAGGATGGACAGACAGTTTAAAAAATGTTCATGTTTGGTACCTTGAGGCTATTTCAGGAGATTTTACCTTTCACAGATTTTCAGTACACTTTATCACATGTGCCCCTCACAACTTAGACAGGGCAGGGAGCAGCATCTAAGGTGAAGTTATAGGGGCTCTGGCTCATCTGTGGGTATTTGTGTAGCACGCATCTCTCACACTAACATGGTTCTGGAAAATAAGTCATCTGAGCACGTCGTACTTTGTTTTTCTTCTTAAACATTCAGTGTCATCATCTCGCATTTGCATGTGCTGGAATTGGCACCATCTTGGGAGGACCTGCTCCTCCGTGGCCCTCTGCTGCCGAGTGCCTGGCACGGTGGCTTCCTGCTCTCAAGCTCTCACGGGCTGCTGAGAACTGCACACAAGGCCTGTTTGGAAAGGTGCTTGGTAACTCCCACTGTGCACGTAGTTCCCAGGCCATTGCTATTATGACCTCCGACTCCTCTCAGTGTTAATCACGTGCCCCGGGAGGATTCTTGGTAATTTTCCTTGCACCACAGAAGTTTACCACCCTATGGATCCCAGGCCATTGCTATTATGACCTCCGACTCCTCTCAGTGTTAATCACGTGCCCCGGGAGGGTTCTTGGTAATTCTCCTTGCACCACGGAAGTTTACCACCCTATGGGGGTCAGAGTTCCTTTACTCTCTCCTCTTCCTCCTACCCAAGGAGCAGATGTGCTGCTGAGCATGGAGAAGAAGGTTGGGATCTTGGTTCTGCTTCCAGCAAGACGCTGGGCTTTCGCTGAGGCTGCTCCTCCTTGGCTTTCTAAAAAGTGGTCACGGGTGAGTGGCCTGCACCTGCAGGGCAGGGCTGCCGTGGAGCTCAGGGCTCAGCTCCAGCACCCTGCCTGCCTGGCTGCCGTCTTTGTTGTGGACTTCTGACTGCCCCCTCTTCAGTCCTCCCCGTCTAATCCACGCCTCCCTCCGCATCCACATGACCTTTTCCACCTGCATGCTGAGCCCCTCACCCTCCCAGCCCGGCCTCTTCCCTCTCCAGTATCCTCACCCTTCCTTTCCCCAGGCCCCCTGCACGCCCTGCAGCTTCTCATGCCCACCCCCAGCCCGTCCACCCTCAGCCCTCCCTTTTGCAGAGCACGTGTCAGCTGTCTCTGTATGTATGCTAACCTTCATGGGCATAGCTCTGTGACTTCTCGGCTTCAGGTGGGTAGGGACACCTGACTGGGTGTCTGTCTGTGGACTGGGCCCAGGGCACCGTCAGCTCTTAGAGTTGCTGAGTGAAGGAAGGAACAACTTCCTGCCATGGAAGATGGGATCTCGTTATGGTTGGACCTGTTCTTGGAAAATGCCAGCCAGTTTTTCACACACGTATGTCTGTCGGTGCCCTGCCTGGTGCAGGCAGGAGTGCATGGGCTGAGTCTGATGTCATGTGGTCCAGCTGGCCTTGGGGAAGTTGGAGGTAGGCTCCCCAGGTGGCCAATCTTCCTCTGCTTTAATAACTCCACTTTACAGATCATTACAGGGATAACAGTTGTGTGACAGTGACGCCACAGTGACAGCAGTGAGCAGAGCTGTGAGGCTGGGAGGGCCCTTTGCAGACTTCTGGGGACTGTGGCTGGTGCGGGCCTCCCGCCAGCTCTGTCTTTTCTCTCATGTGGACAATGCTACCTCGGGACAGCTGTGGTGACCCTCTGTCTGTACCACCCCCATCTCTGCCTTTTAAAAACATGGTACATCAGTCTGCTCAGGCTGCCGTAACAGAGCACCACAGGCTGGTGGCTTCAAGAGCAGAAATGTGGAAGTCCCAGATCAACCCATCGACGTGGTTGGCTCCTCTGAGGCCTCTCCCTGGTTTGTAAACGGCGTCTTCTCCCTGTGTCCTCACGTGGTCGTCCCTCTGCATGTCTGTGCCCTCCTCTCTCCCTACTAGACACCAGTCACATTGGATTGGGGCCACCTGAATGACCTCATTTTACTCTACTCACCTCCATAAAGGGCCCATCTCTAAACACAGCAACATTCTGAGGTCCTGGGGTTGGGACTTCAATGTACGAATTGGGGGGACACAATTCAGCTTGTCACAGATGCCAGCCTCAGAAAGCAGGAAAGAGAAGCCTGTGCTCTCCACCTGGAAAACCACCCTGGTCAACGGTGGGCATCGTGGTGGGCCCCTGCCTTCCTCTCCCGCTGTCCTCCATCAATAGCACTTCTGAGAGGGCTCTGGACAAGGGGACAGCTGCCCTCCTTCCTGTGCTGGCAGGGCTTAGGTCTTGATCTGCTGCCAGCCTCTGTGCAACTTGAACATGCCATCACGTCCCCTCTAGGTCCCTGCCCCTTACAGTGAAGTGAGGTCATTACGGAGGTCTGTCCTCTTGAGGGCCGCATTCTGAGTGTGACCCGCACGGCTGATAGGGCGGGTCAGGGGACTCCCCAGGAGACGTGGGCTTCTGGAATTCCTAGAGCTGGAAGCAGAGGCCAGTGTGGTCCCTTCTGTGAAGGCCACACCTGGTGATGGACCACAGGGCACCTGGCGCTGTGTCCAGTGATCCACGTGGCAGCTGTCATTCTTAAATTCTCCATTGCTGTTGGGATTGACTGGACAGGTGTGGACAGACTGTGGGTGTCGTCTTGCTGTGGTTGCACCCCCAGCTCTGGGCCCAGCTGACCGTGGCTAACAGTAAGGAACATGCAGGCTGGGACCCCGTCACATGCTGCTTGCAGCCCGTCGCAAGTGCAGGGCGGGATGGCCCCGGCGGGCGGGCGTGTGTTGCGGAGGTAGGGCCTGTGGGGCCGCAGCCCGAGCAGGGGCGGAACCGCGCCCGTCAGAGCCCAGGGGCTCCCGGCCTGAACTCGTTTCTGAGAAGGCGTCTGCTGATGGCTTCCCACAATGGTGACGTGATCCTCTCACTCGAGTGCAGGGGACGTGCCTGGTTTTCACTGTGAAACACACAGGGAGCTGTGGAACCTTCCCCACCAAGGCTGGAGCTGGTGACAGCGCCTCATAAACTTCAGGAAGCAGCTGAACCTTGTTCCCAGTCCTGTCACAACTGTGGCCGCGGGCCAGTGGCGAATGCTCAGCCTGGAGTTGAGGGCACTGCTCGCCTGGCATCGGGGGCAGGAGGTCCCCAGGCCCGCACTCTGGCCCTGTGTCATTCTGAAGTTTTGTGTTTGTGGTGGACTGTTGCTGGGGACTAACAGCACAGCTTGTTTAGCCTCTGGAACAAGCAGCATGTCCCAAGACCAGCTTTGTTCTGCTTGGGGCATATCACAAAATCTGTTTTACTAAATTGCCACCAGTTACATGTCAAAGAGAGGCCCTGATCTTCAGTCACAGCTGTCCTTACCACTTCCTTGGACACTGCTGCTGGGCCAGGAGTGTGTTGAAAACAGCTCAGTGATGCTGTCCCCATTCTGGTAAAGGATCCAGTAGTCCTTAAACGCCCCATGGTGGGGTAGAAATCTCCTGCTGGGCCAGGGTCTGTGGCCATGTGTACCTCAGATGCACGGCAGCAAGGATGCCCACAACCTGGTGCCCGCTCCTGCCACCCACCAGTCCGCGGAGCCACGAGATGTTGCTGCCTGTCAGCGGATTGCTAAAGTGTCATGCTGGTGAGCGCTGCCGGCCACTGGCCAGACGTGGTTTTGGCCAGGACCTACCGGCTTAGTGCCAGCTGCACTCGGCCACGAGGCAGGCTGGCTGTTCCTTGTGAAGTGGGGGAGGGAGGGTGCCACTGGCTTATCAGAGGGGTGTGCAGGGAACCGTGAAGCAAAATTGTTGCTTTTGCCAGAAGAGTGACCGTGGAAATGAGAAAAATAAAAGCTTTTCTCTGTCTTCTGAGACTTCCTTCACCCATACTTGCAAAAAAGCAGAAATCACAGAAAGCTGGGAAAAGCTTTGTATGCTGGTTCTGTTATTCCTGCTGTGCCCTGCACTGTGGTCCCGATGACAGAGGGGTGGGGACAGCCAAGAGGACTGATGAGCAGCTATGACTGACTCGTGAGCACAATGATAGACTTCATGCTGACATCCCATTGAGCAAAGTTGTCCGTGTTTTTTCCCTTCAGGGAATATTGGCATAAAAGAACGCTTGGTGGGGACAGGAGGAAGACAGGGAGGATGCTGTGGGCAGTTTGGGGACCCCTGAAGGAAGCAGACTTTAGTGGCCCTATCACAGAGGCAGGAAGGACGTGAGGTTCTTAGGAGGGAGGGGACCTGTCTTCCTTTCAGGGCATGTGCATTTTCTACATAAAGAGAGAGCCTGGAAGTCTAGTGGGAGAAATGATTCACGTTATGCCTGTGAATTCTTTTAAAGTAGTTGTGATTTGTACTGAGTCGCAGGTCCTGCGTGATTGTGTGATTGTGGGCAGAATGTCCTAGAGTGGCTGTTTTGGGGTGTGGCCCCTGGGCCAGCAGCCGCGGCATCTTCCGGCCTCCACCCCACACCCCCTGGACAGGAGATGCTCTGCTCCAATAGGCCCCAGGCGCTTCCTGTGCCCATCCAGGTTTAAGGTGGGAAAAAGGTAGGGGGTTTTCCCCCTCTGTGCAACAGCTCCTACAGGACCGTGTGGCCCCTGAAAGGTCTGGAGACCTGCCACAGGGGTTCTGCCCTGGCTGCCGGTTGGATCACTGGGAACTTGGCAGGTGTTGATACCGGCGCCTCGGGGAAAACCTGACTTAACAGGTCTGGGTGCAGCCTGAGCACGGGACGTAGAGAACTCCTGTGACCCTGATGTGCAGCTCGGCGGGGAAGCATCTTCCTCAGTCAGTGGCCACCCATTGGCCGTGGCCAGGGGATGTCTCTGTGTGCAAGATGGATGACACTGGGACTGTCGGCTCCATGCCCTGGGCAGGTGGTCTTCTGGCTGTTTCTTGAGCTCCCCTTTCTCCTTGTGAGACAGGGAAGGGGGATGTGAGGCACATTTAAATGACTGACCCACCAGTTGGGCATTTAGATGTCCTGAAAAACTGTACCACAGACAAAGCTACTTTTCTTTTTCTCAGGGAAGAAAACATCAGCTGTTTCATTTGTTAGTAAATTTTCTGTAACTATGGAACATGTCCTTCCCAATCCACATCGGCGCAGCAGCCTGCGATGCTGTGTATTTCTGGCTCACAGGACAGGTAAGGTGCTGCTTGGGTTTGTGTGAGGAGGACTGGCCGTTCTCCAGCCCCTTCAGGCGGTCTTGCTGCACAGTGGCTGGAGGAGCTCTGTCTGTGTGCGACTCTGTGTTGGGGAGCACTTTCACCGAATCCTGCTTCTACCTCCCCACACAGTCCAGCAGCGTGGCATGGCCACTCTGGGTAAGGGCCATCTCCTCGTTTATAGAGCAGGTGTTGGTTTAATCTCTTTGACACTGCCCCTGCATATTTTGGATATGTGATTGCACAATTTTTACCTCAAGTTCTGTCCTCGTATTTTCCCTCTCACTAGTTAACAGGGGTGTTGGAAAAATGGAATAATTTAATCAGGCTCCCCTTGCCTCAGGGATGGTTGGGGGTGGTTCAGTAAACATTGTATGTGTCAGGGGGTGGAGTTAGTGTGCCTGCCTGCCGCCACCTTGGCTGGCATTTACTGCCTGGGGTGGCCACTGTCAGCACAACCATGCTTTCCAACCTGCGGCTTCCAAGGACCTTTTGGCCAGTTACCTAGCTCATAGACCTGAGTGTAAGGGGTCTGGTGACCCAGCCTGGAGTGTGAAGGGTCTGGGGACCCAGCCTGGTGTATGAAGGGTTTGTGACCCAGTCTGTGAATGGGCTTGAGGGGTCTGTGGGCTCCAGACCCAGCCTTAGCTCGACAATCGGCCCAGTCAGTGCAGGATTACTGGCAGGTAAAAGAGCCCGACAACTGGCATAGTTGAGAAGCTTTACAATTGGCATCACAAACAGGATTAAAAGAGCCTTAGTGCCGCAGGGGGTCTCTGCTTTTTGATTTGTTATACAGCTGCTCCTGCGCCAGGTCATCAGCTACATGCAGGTTATAAAGGACTCAATGATCCATCCAGAAGGATCAGAGATTTCAAGATTTTCTACAAAGAACTACTTTTAAAATAGTACTGTGGCTTAATGTGTCTTTCCCTTCACACTTTCTCTGTTGGAGGTTTCATACCATCTGGACAATTTCAGCCAGAAATCAGGGGAGTCTCCTGTACAGATAGATCCAGCTCTGAGGGTCCAAGACCTGACCTCTCAGTGTAGTAGTTTCGGCACCAGCTGTCAATCAGGAAGACCTGGTGACACCTCTGTGTGACCAAGGAGGTTGTGTGGATTTGATTAAATTGCTAACTTACGTAAGCCTCAGTTTACGCATCTGAATGTTGAGTATGATAATGAGGACTTCATAGGATCATCGGAGGAAATAAAGAAGACAGTAGGGTAAGATTCTTAGCATGTTCCCTGGCTCGTGGTAAATCTTCCACTGACCCGAGCCTTGGTGGTTGCAGACGGAGCTGAACCTCACTTTGCACGTGAGGTGGTGAGAGCGGTTGGTTGAAAGAGTAGGTTACGCTGGGAAATCATTACCAAGGTCAGTACTTTACGCAGCTTGTTTTAACTTACAATGTGCATTGATCTATGAATATTTTAATCAAGAGGGTTACTGACTGGAGCACCACATCATCTTTTCCACATCAGCCACACCCAAAACACACGTTCAATGATTTCAGGGTTTCGATTTATTTTCTTTACTTTGAAATGGAGCAAAAAACTCCTAGACACTTGCAAAATTCAGGAGCCTAACAGATTTTTACTCCCTCCTCGATGTTTTACAGCTGTCTTGTGCACAAGTAGCCAGCTATTTTTAAAGTGACCTACTTTTATTTTTCTTCCTAAAGCTTTTAGCTTAGATTTAGCAGAAATAACTTTCTTCTTGTTTAGTAGAAATAACTTTCTTCTTTAGTAGAGATAACGTTTTTCACATGACAACACATTTTGCAATAGTTACCTGAATAACATAATTCCAGTAACAAACACTCCTGGCATAGACAGGTTTGGGACAACAACTGACCCTTGGTAAGCTTAGGTCTCGGCTGGTGTGAGAGGCATCGGTCTGTCCGTGCCTGTCTCAGAAGAACTGGCTGGTGTCCTCTGGCAAATCATGTCAGGGACAGTTGCCGTTTCATCATAATTTAGAGTTATCCCATTGACTTCCCCAACAGGCCCAAAGTGGAATTTGTTGTTTTCCTCTCTTCAAACCACCGTTGCCCCCTGCTGTGGACTGAATGTTTATCTCCCCCACCCCCAATTCATATGTTGAAATCCTAACCACTATCATGTATAGAATTGAGAGATGAAGACTTTGGGAGTAAAAGAAAGTGAGCTGAGACAACAAGTACTGATCAAGCTTTATTAAAGGAAAAGAATCTGCCAGGCTGAGCCCAAAGTGGATGGCAGCCCATGGCTGCCCTCAAAATGGAGGACAGCACCAGGTGTGGGGGTGTAGAGCTTATATAGGGTGCCAAGGGCTGGCTGATACCATCAAGGAGGGGCATTATGCTAATGTGGAAGCTGTGCGACCAGGGTGGAGAACTTCATGCTTGCAGAAGTAAAAGTGTTTCCATTTAAGTCACGAGTTTTCTTGTAAAGGGAAGGGGGGAGGGGTTTGGTGCTGGAGTGGAAGACAAGGCTGGCAGCTATTTTGTGCTTATTGTGTGCACAATGGCACTGGTCACCTCCAAGATCCATCATTCCCACCTCCCAAGTACAAGAAGAAGGGAAACGGGGCGAAGGTCTCATTCTTCTGAAGCTACTTCCTGCTGGAGATGGGTGAAGATATGGAAAAAGTAAAAGATTTATATTGCTGCGCAAAACAATTAGGTGGCGGGGTATTGGTTTCGTGTGGGGAGGCTGTATTCTTCCAGGGAAGGGTCGCTGACTCTGAGGGGCTGATATCCTCCTCGCAGGAACAATTCAGCGACCTTTTGGTTGGTGAAAGCTTGTATACATTCCTGCAAGAAATTAGAGAAACACCAAAAGAGACGGACCAAAAAGTAGGCTGAGGCACAGTTAGGGGCCCTAGTAAGGGCATAAGCCAGGGTATCCAAGGGTTCAGTGACTGGAGCCACCCCACAGGTATGTTTGTGTTTTGTAACCCTTTGCATCAGTGATCAATGCTTGCTTTTTAATGATTTAAGTTGTTTTGGATCACCCCAGCCTCATTTACATAATAACAGCGTTCCTCCCCCAAGAAGAGGCAGGGGCCTTCCTTGTCAGCTGTAAGGAAGTAAAGGGCCTGACAGTTCTGTAAGGCAACTGTCGTGAGTGAGGTGACCTGTCACTGGAGGGAGGAGATGCTGTCCATACTTAGTTCTTCTGAGAGTTTATGATAGAACTGAGAGGCAGTAGCAGGGCCCGCTATGCCAGTCCCAGTTGCAGGAAGGATCCCTGCCCCAATTAAAAGGTACAATTAGTGCCCTACGGGAGCAGGGGTCACTTCCTGAGGGGGAGGGGCCGAAGTTAGTCCCAGTCCCGTCCATCTGGACGGTGATGTCAGGGACAAGCCAAATGAATATGGAATAAATCGCGTTAGGGGGACAGGCAACAGGATAACGTAGTTTTACAAAGGAAATCTATTCTGGCTTTAGGGCATGGATAAGGAGGGGGTAAGTGAGTGGTAGCATTTGGAGTTAGTGAGGCAGAGTGTGCGCAGACACCGCACAACGCTGACAGTCCCCGCTGAGGTGACATTACAGGAAAGTGAAGAGATGTTTGTGGAAACGTTGTGGGCTTCATCGACAGGGAGGGGAGAGACCACAAAAAGTTTCTCGCAAAGTGGGAGACAGATGAGTCACTCGGGGACCAGTCTGATTCGCTGAGGACTGCATCGTCCCTGCAGAATTGGAACCTCCATGTTCCAGGTAAGGGGGAGCTTGAGATAGGAGGAAAAACATGGGAAGGATGCGAAGGGAAGTGTGCCTGCAAGTGGTTAGGGACATGGGGTGGCATATACTTATCATGTTCCATGATGGCAAACCCATGATAGCAGGTCGGGACCAGTCTTAGAGTAGCTCTTGTGCAAAGGACGTGAAGCGGGCCTGCAACAGTGAGAGGATAATCAACAGGGGAAAGATCATCCTTCTTTTGGGATTGGGGAAATAGTGGAGGTCCTGGAGATTTTCAGTTTTGTGGGTACTAAAATGGATGAAGCGTAAGGAGGTGTTGGGTTGGGGGTTGAGTAGAGGGACCCCTCTGGCTTGTTGTTAACAGATTCTTTGGGTAAAGTCTCAGGTGCTAGTTTTACCAAGGATAAGTGATACCAAGGGGCCTTTCCTAGTACCTTTACTGCTGTGGGGGTGGTGAGAAGTTCTGTATAAGGCCCTTCCCAGCATGGCGAGAGGGGCTTTGGGATTCAGGTTTTAATATACACTTGCTGTCCCGGGCTCAGTTTACAGTCTGAGGGGGTGGTGGGGAAAGGATGAGGTAATGGAAGGTTGGCCTGTTCCCAAAGAAGATCCCTAATGAGCGAAAGAGCAGGGAGATACTGGCCTAAAGGCGATGAGCTGGAAGGGAGAGGTGTGAGAGTGAAGGGCCGCTGTACATAAGTTCGAGGGGGCTGAGGCCTGTGGGCTTGCGGGGGCAGCCTGCAGGTGGGTGAGCGACTGGTGGGGAGGCCAAAACGAGGG